AAGCATTTCAATTAATATTGGGAGTCATGTCGTTACTTTGTTGAGAATGTGGCCATGTAATAAGCGGGATAATTTGCAGCGACTTGTTCCTTATGGGGAAAATAACACCCTTCATGCTCAAGATCCCTCCGCTGCGCTTTGGGATCCTGATCTGCCGACGAGGCTCCATTAAAATATAAATATTTTTAGTAAATTACTGAGTTTAGGCACGTTAATAACGTTTTAATGAAGTTGAATACAGTATATTCATATGTGTCAGTGATTTCATGTCAATTCGGCGAACATAAACATAAATCATCGTGGTGAAGATGATGATTAAATTAGGATTAAAAATCGAGAGCCGGGCTGCATTTCCTCCCGTTCGTTTTTTTCGACTAAACAACATTATTTTGTTAAATAACAACATGTTGATGTTTTGTAAATGATTACATGTCTCTTATTTAGCACAGAGTATGATATCCGTGACATATGGATCTTAACAAAGTTCCGCTGTACATCCAGCGTACTGTATCTGACTTTATTTCACATGAGCTCCAGTGTGGAACCCCACATGCACCTCCTGGTGGATCAATGATCCATTGCAGCTGGCTTCATTATAATTACATTTATCTATCACGGGGTGGTCTCAAATCAAGCTGGAGGTTTTCCCTTGAGCGGTAACAATCACGGCCCTCGCGTTTCAAACTGTCTGAAATGAATCGTTACATCTACAGCGTTATGCAGGCAAGTCCACTGTTCTCATTCAAATAATGGTAAAGCCACACAAGACAGATCCTGAGAATAGGGGTTTATTACACAGTTTCTTCCTTGATTATCTTTTCAGCATCCAACAGCAACATGTCACACTTTGCTCTTGTGGCAGTGTTTAAGAGCGTCTCTCAGTGCCGCCAGAACCATGTCAACATTGTCCTTGCTGCTGTTGCATCCCATCAGTCCAACACGTAGCACCTAAAAAAAACAACAACCAGGTGTTAGGCTTCATTCACAGGACTTATGTGACCTGGAAGGCATAGGTTGTTCAAGTAGAAACAAACTGTTATACAAAGTATTTGAAGGATTTTTGTCTTACCAAGCCAGCTGATGGTCCAAGCCCCCCAGAAATCTCTAAATTATGGGTTTTCATGATGTAGGTTGTGATCTCTTTCCAGTCATATCCATGCGGAGCAACAATGGTGGTAACTGTAGGCAGTCTTGCTTTCTGTAACAACCATTTAAATCAGAAATTATAAATGTTCTTTCTTTTTCATAATTTAAATTGTTGATCATCATTGAGTTTTAACTCTACTGAAAAACTGCGAGAATGTAAATTATGAAACGAAATAATCTGATTTAACTTGAAACTCACTTTTTCTTTGACGAAGAGTTTGAGTCCTATGCTCTCAAGGCCCTGGTGGAAATACTCTGCCACTTTATGATGTCTTTCCCATGAATTCTCCAGACCCTTAGAAAAACAGTAAAGGAATCAAGACAGACAGTCAAAACATTATAGAACAGCTGATACATAACCATCATATTATTTTGTTTTTATGTTGGTATATTTTTGCCACTGTACAAACTGCTACGGCTATCTGTACAGAGCTATTGAAGTGGATACAAAAACAAAACAAAAAACACCTCTTCGGCAAGGACAGCCAGACTCTCCCTCAGAGAGTAGAACGCAGTGACTGGGCCTGTGTGGTGATATCTACAGAGGGGACATGGAAAAGACAGACCATATTAAGAAAGTACAGCTGAACTTGAGAGCACAATTTGAAATCTAATCTGTTCCTGTCTGCAGACGAAAATGTCTTACAGTCTGGACGGCTTGCCATCACATCCCCAGTAGTTTGCAAGCCAACCCAAATCCAAGAAGAATGACACAGGCTTTGCCCTGCGGCTGAATATTTTCTGGCTGTGAACAGATTAAAGGTTAATTACATGGTGTTACATATTCCTTAATGTCTACTTGCATGTTCATTTCTCACCATGCTCTCTCACTAAAGGAGATTGGAGCTGTACCCGGAGGAGCATTCAAAACCTTTTGGGAGCCAGTGTATAGGATATCTATTCCTGAAAATAAAATCAATCCAAAAATGATTGTTATCAAAAGAGATTGTGTAATACAATGCTGAGAGAGACTTGAAATCTACCAGGATTGAATATGTAACCTTGCTGGTCCATGTGCAGAGGGGTCCCTCCCATTGAAGCCACAGAGTCCACAAGAAACAAGCAGTTATACCTGCAGACACACATCATAACAAGCTATCAACTGCCAATATAATTATTATTATTAGAAGTGAGGATGAAAGAGAAATGAGCGCTGCATTTTACTTATGGCACAGCTCAGCGATGCCATCCAAAGGATGCAGGACTCCTGTGGAAGATTCTCCATGTGCGAGGAAGAACACCACTGGCCGGTGTTTTGATAAGGCCTGTGATGAGATAACAGTGTGATCACATAGACAGCAGCTTTTATGGAAGTAATTTAGGTAACCTGAAACTAGAGAGTCAGTGTACCTTCTCAATGTCTGCATTAGTGAGGAAGCCTCCAGGGGGCGCCACTATGGTATTTACTGTGGCACCTGTAGGGTAAACACATGATGTTCTGTGGTCGAACAACTGATTCCCTTTGCAGAGATTCCACCCAGGAGGACCCATGATGGAAAATCACATGTTTACATACTAATTTATCAATGAATTACATTTACTTGCCGATGTATTCAATTGCGCAGTGTACTGTTTGCTGCCCCTAGCGCTCATCAAGAGTCTATGAGCGTGTATGTAATGACTTTCACCAATAACACCATGGTAAACAATACAACTTTCATATTTAGATATAACTTGAACTTATTAAGTTAAATTAAGAAGCAAATAGCCTAATTGCCTTATGAGTTTGCCAATGTTTGATAACGGAGCAGGCTATGCTAATAATGCTAGCAACTAACGTTAACATTAGCTAAAATGTTCTCAATAAGGTTTTTGCAATTTTGTTTTAGCTTTTACTTTAATGGATGTTAACATTAGTTTGCTAATGACATTAGTTTGTGTATATCTCCCAGAAGGGTTAGGGTCAGGCCTGGAGATATGCAGGGTGGCATAGTGCCCTTTATACATCCATATACATACATGGGAGACATGTTCCTTATGATAAACATAGGCACTGTGGTTTATTTTGAGTCAACTCGACATAAGAGCCCTGCTGCTGGAAATATTACCGCACCAAATGTGCATTAATCAGCAGCTGAAATATGAAGTCTTTCCTGATTGAAGTATTGTTTGCTGAAAGCTACAGTGCCCTGCTGAAAAGTATTGAGCCTTTTTAGAACCAAACTTTGTATTCGATTTACAACTAAAGAATGAACCAGGAAAGGAACAAATAAATCCGAAATAATTTAATTGTAAGCTTTGTTTTTCTCGACAGAGAAATATATGAAACCATCATCCTTACCTATCCTCTCTGCCATTTCCGCTGCTCGCTCTCCCCATATACCGTTGACTGCACTCAGCACGCTTTCCCCCCCCTCCACGGTGTTGAAGATGGCACACTCCATTGCAGCGTGGCCGGTGCCGCTCACAGCAAAGGTCATGCTGTTCTGAGTCTGGAACATGTACTGGATCCCACTTCTGATGTCACTCATTATCTATAAAATAAAGTAAACAAATATGAAAATTATATTTTGAGGGGTTCTAACACAGGTCACCCTTAACCTCTTTCATTTATCTAATCATGAGGTAAAATGAACTGGCAAAATTTCTAATAAGTAATTTGTAACTTTTGAGAAAACACTTCCTTAATTCAAAAATGCAAACATAGTCTCCTATGATAGTAAAGGAATACATTTGGGTTTTGGATTATGCCCTCATCCTTCATAGTCTCCACCATGTGTGTTACCTCAAATATCTCTGGATGCATGTGTCCAATGACAGGATTGGCCCCGGCCTTCAAGATCCGTGGTGGGACGTTGGAAGGTCCTGGTCCAAACATGTAGCGATGAGGAACCACCAGGGGTTTTTGCAGGCATTTTGGTGGAGGAACAGAGACAGACGACATGTTCCCAGCAGAGAGACGAGCACAGTGAAACCACAGAGCTGTGAAGCAGGAGCAGTGAGGCTGAGCTGAGCCCACCCCTCAGTCTGACCAGTGAGCTCCTCAGGTCAGGGGTCATCTGCTTTATCTGCTCATCTGTCAACACATGCTGCCTCTGTGCCCAATCAACTCAGGTAGCTGGTTTCCCATTTGAAAGATAAGCAAAGTCACCCAACATGTCCTCAAGTGTTAATCATTGACTTCAGCTCCTCCAGTGTGAGGCTTAAATATTACCCTGCCAACAGGATGACATGTTTTCCACAACACACACGTATAAAGGCTTATGTTGACCTACTGTTTTAATCTGTCGTTGTAAGATCTGGCTATTTACAGTTTGTAAGAAACAAAGTTCCACCCTTAAATATGTGTGCAGTGTGTATACGCTAAAATAATGTTTGGAGGTCTGCAACAGTCTTATAAAAGTTGACCAGATTTAAGGGTATACATTTTATCATCAAAAGGCAATTTGGTTGTAATAAATCAGCAAAATCAAGGCCGTTTGCTGATAAGAAGAGAAAAGGAAATAAGGCTTATGTTATCAATTGTGTTGTCCCCCAAAAGATCCAGTGGCTTATTTTTATGTATTCTTTTTGAGAGTAGAATGGTTCCAGTACATTACAGCTGTCAGTTTGACACACAACCATATTACATATAGGCCAGTGTTAACAAAATAGGCGTTTCATACTGTTTTTTATGGGATTAAGAGCATACTGAACCTATAAAGAAGAACGGTATAATGTATATCTACAGGAACAATGTGAACTCCATTGGAAGTAGGCTTTTATTCAAATAAAAAGCGCATGGCACAGATCATATCATATTAAGGTTTTACAGATACGAACACATTGTCAACACATGCAGATGCAAATCACACAATCTGGAAAGCTTGTTTGATTTTGTTGTGATAAAGTGTGCTAACGTGGTCTCAAATTCCTGAAAAATAAGGCACTAATAAGTATTAATTCGTTTTTATTATCAGTAGGCTACTTTAATTACGTATGATTTCATTATAGCTTGTTGCTATTTTTGCGATCTTTCCGGGGGGATGAGGAGCAACTTGCCCAAAGGCTCGGGGCAGAAGCAGCCTTCTCTGTACACCAGCTGACCCCGGACCAGCGTGGCACACACCACACCCTGCAGACTGAGGCCAAGGTAAGGAGTGAGCTACGCACGTACGCACGTGCGCGCACACAAACACACACACACACACACACACACACACACACACACACACACACACACACACACATTTAAATGTTAAAATGATAAACAAAGCTTCTTCAATCAATTTCTTATTTTAATGTGGTTTACCTTGTTTTTATGATGTATGCCTCCTTCTTTAATCTGTGAAGCATGACAGAAATGTAAATGAATACAGTGCAATAGAGTATAGCTTTTTTAATGGGACGGGTGGCGCAGTGCTCTGTGCATCCGATCATCAGATCAAGGGGGGTGCTGGGGAACTCAAGTTCGAAACCCGCCGCCACTGCGTCAGGCCGTCGTGTCCTTGGGCAAGACACTTCAACCGGATTTGCTCCGATAGTACATTTATGATACTAATGTGTACTTGTAAAAGCGCCTCGATGACTTCGAGGCGTGAAGATGGAAGATGGACGGTGTGGCGCAGTGCGCTGTGCAATGATCATCAGATGAAGGGGTGAAACCTGCCGCCGTTGTGTCCTTGGGCAAGACACTGCTCCTGTGGGTATTGTTCACAGTAATGACCCTCACATGTGTGTAATGTGTATTTGTAAAGCGCTTTGAGCATCTGGAAAAAGCGTTATAATAAATATAAGGAATTATCATTATTAGGCTATTTAGCCTAGTTTGTCCTTAATATATCAAAACTTAGGTAGGTCTCTCTTTTAGAGATTCCGAGAGACAGATTGAAAACCAGGAGCAGGGCCTTTACTATCAGGAGATCCGACAACCCCACTTTGTTAAAGTTTTTTGAAAACACAATTTTTGATTGTGCATTCACTTTCATTATTCCCTTGCTGTGTATCTCTAAAAAAAATTATATTCCTAAAATTGTAAGTTATAAACGTGTACGTATAAAGATTTGATATATTAATCATGTTATGTATAAATATAAGAACCCTCCTTGATTAGAACATAAGCCTATGACATTATATAAAATACAATAATAATAACAAAATAAAAACAAATACAAAAAACGAAATAAAGGCAAAAATGACAAAAGGTGAAACTTAACAGTCAACAAGAAGCTGTTGTGAGGTACTTTGTAATCATGTTATTATGAAAGGTACAATATATGTCTAATGTAGGCTATTATCATTATTGTAATACAAACTTCAAATTCTCTCTCGGGGTCCCATATGACCAGGTCAGCATCGTAACCGGGGGCGAGGCAGCCCTTCTGGTTGTCAAGGCGACTGAGCTGGGCTGTGTTCCGGCTGAGGAGCCTCACCACGTCACTCAGCTGGAAGCCTCTCTTACTGGCCGAGCTCCAGAACAGAGGCAAACCTGAGAGTGTTTGAGAGGTGCAGAGGTTAACAGGCCTAAAAAAGAATTGAGCTGAAACGATCAAATATTTCAGAATTTCCTGAATTCAGAAAAAGTAGTTAACACTGTGGATGAGAGTGGACCTGGTTTCCGACTTTGACCCCTCTCACTGTCTGAACGGTAAATAATTGTTCTGTCTCTCAGCTCTTGTTTGCCTCCCTGTGAACTTCGCCCTGTGTGAGTGACTGTCAGAAGTTTTATAGGTGGGAGAGAGCCAATAATCCAACCTAAAAGAACCTTTGCACATACATTTCCTGTACTATTACACAGGCCAGGTTTAACATGTGCATTTTAGCCAATTTGTTCAGCTATCAGCAGAGGATTCATCATGTAAAGAACTGAAGCTACTCCTTGAACAATGAATTATGGTAGCTGGTGCATCATCTGATGCACAGCTAAAAGCCCCATATGCATAATACACACATCTAAATGTAAATTCACAAACAAACCTGTACAGTAAGCAGTCAAATCTCTGTCCAGTCACATGAATCATTAAGTGAACAGAAATCTGAATATTACTGACTCAATGTGTGGGACACTGATAAGTCAATGACCGTTGACTATTTTCAGACAGAACATGATGTCAAATCAAACAAGTACCAACAATGAGGGTTATTACAAGGTAAACCCAACCAACAAAGTTTGAGTGCATCCTGGCAACTCTGTCTCCTAAAAACTACTTTCCTATACAACAAAGGTGCATTTCAATATAGCATATTGTAGTGATCACACACTGTTTATCATAATTCACTCATGAAACTACAGGTTGGGGGTATTGTTCCGTACGGACACACATGTTGACTGCACCTCCTGTGTACCTACTGTGTGCCCTCCTTTCTCTTCTCCCCTTCTCTTCCTGGACTTCAAGCCGGCAACATGTGGTTTTCTGCTGCTCAATAAAACCAACTTTGCACCTTCGATGCACCGCCTCCGACTCCCTTCTCTCGGCACTACAATATTCAGATTATCAGAGCTTCTAGCTGAAAACAGGTGTCTGCTGTCTGCTGCCATAAAATCAAAAACAATTACCTTAAAGATGCTAAAACGCTATAATTGAATCAACAATTTGCATTTTGACATCCTGGACGATGGCTGAATCTGTGTCCCGTTTGCAATGCAATGCAACTGTTAATGGAGTTTGGGTATAAACAGTCTCAAATCATTGAAATATAATGATATTATTTTATGATGCATTAGGTTTGCAGTGACAGTGGTGCCATGTTAGTTGCTCCAGGTGATGAAAAACATACAATATGTTATTCATTTATTGTAATACACTGTATTATTAATAGTGCAGTTACCAAATTGTAGAGAGGATATTCCTCCCCATGCCTCAGTAAAGTCTCCTCTCTCCAGTTTCTTCAGATCGGGGGTGCAGGGGGAATGATCCGACACCACCATGTCAATCTGCCCAGCTTTCAGTGCGGACCATAGCTGCTCCTGTGAGGTGAAAGGAATCCCAAGTGAACAAAGAATAAAATAGAAAGTGAAGTGAAGTTGTTGATCCACTGTGCATCCGCTTGTGTTTACCTGGTTAGCAGATCCTCGGATGGGGGGGCAGCACTTGAACTGTGTGGCCCCTGAAGGTATGTTCTCAGCACACAGGCTGAGGTAGTGGTGGGTGGTCTCCACGGTCAGGGACGCTCCGGCCTGCCGCGCAGCCTGGATCAGCTTCAGAGGCTCTGCAGAAGACAGGTGCACGATATGACAGCGCACCCTGGAGCAGAGAGGTTAGCTCAGTGTAGCATCAAAGCTACATTCACAACCACATACTGCCCAGAATGATCTTCTATGATATAAAGGTTATTTTATTCTTACTGGAACTCGAGGCAGAGTTCTGTGACGGTGCGAATGGCTTCCGTCTCCATTATATCTGGTCTGGACTGCAGGAAGGTGGAGTACTGGGAAGGTTCTTAAGTGGGAAGAGGTGTAGGAGCAAACCATCAGTATGATGTCAATACTGTACTATTATAAACCTTGATTTATGGATATATTAAGTATATATATATATTTATATTGTATTTATAAATTAAGTATATACAGTATAACAAAAGTTTCTCTAGCTGAGAAAACTCCCAAAAATCACAATTGAAAAATGTCAACTTGATATCTCAAAGAAAATGTCACGGCGCACTTAAGTGAAACATTGTGGGGGGGGTGTAACTGATGAGAACATTAGAAATACTTTTCCGTTTTCTGGTCTCGCAAGAGTATTGTGTTCTTCCAGGAAACATTTATTGTCCCTTTGATAGATTTCAGTAGCTTTGTATCATACCATAAAGGGGCCAGAGATGGCTGCTAACTTGCCCTAACTGCCAAAAAAAGAAATTACTTCGCAGAAAGTGAAGTGGACAATAGCACAAACTCCTGGGGGTCAGAGCGTGGTCTATCCTGTGCAATGGCAGCTACAGTACATCATGTGTTCTGATCTAGTGGGATGTTGGAGACCAGACGCCGGTCCCGAGGTTTGCGTTCGCTGGAATCGAGCTGCTTCATTTAACTGAAGATCCATCTTTGGAGCTACTATTTGCTCTCCCCCTGAATAAGCAGTCTTCTAGCCGGTGGAGGTGGAGCAGAAGATTAGCCAGTTAACAAACAGTAAATAATAAAATCTATGCCCCATTCCACCATTTTCAAGCCAATGTGGCTGTTGTCGGAACCCTTAAAGGGGACCTATAATGCAAAATGCACTTTTTGTCTTTTATACATAAATATGTGACCCCGGTGTGTCAGGAGCAGAGGTCACGTTAACCGAATATTTTCCGTCTATGACGGATTTTTTTTAACAATGACGGAAAAATCTGAAAGCAGTCCGTCATTTTGATGGATTAGAACAAACTCGGAACAGCGCCAAAGTTTCCCCGCAGCGAGGCTCCGGTGTTAAGCATGCCTGCCAAAAAGGAAATGATACCGTTTCCAAACCCAAATTTGCCCTACAAATCATTGAAATGTCTGTGAGTTTTGGCTTTACGCTGTGCGCACTCCCGCGAGGTGCAGTGGGCATAACACGGCACTAACAGTTCACGAGCGTGCGCCCCGCCACCCGTTGACAGTTCACGACTGTGCTCTCCCCCCACCACACCCCCGTTGACAGTTCACGACCGTGCTCTCCCCCCCCGGTTGACAGTCTCTCTCTCTCTCTCTCTCTCTCTCCCCCCCCCCCCAGAGTGTCAAGGCCGACGGGTAATACTGAATTTTGCCGGAAATTTTACGATCCTGTCCGTCAAAAAGACGGGCAGTGAAAAAGTCTAGTGCAACCTCTGGTCAGGAGACTCACAAAGTGTCAGAAAATAAAACCATCTCTCTTTTCCTCCGTACCCAAATCTCGAAAAACAGGGGTACAACGGAGCTGATCCAGATTTTTCGTCCGATATGACGTAATATCGGAAATGGGGACCCACTACCAGAAACATCGCTGTCAGAAACAATGCCCGACTGTTTTTGACGTAATATGGTCTTGGTTTACATTAGCAAGCATTGCTAACACATCATCCTTGATGTGGTTTGGAACATGATGGCGTTTAATCACGGCAGAATTTAACCGTAGCTGCCGTACGGTAATTCTGAGCAGTCATTAGCTCCCCTTCCTCTTTTTTGTTTGTTCAAGCTAAGGACCCCAAACCTGCAGTTCTCTAACAGTCCTGAAATAGAGGGATATGAGGGATGTCTAAAATGCATGATCTGTTTGATATTTTGAGCAAAACACATCATAGACATGTTTTTATATAGTTGTATACTGTATATCTGAGACCTATAATATAATGCCTAAAAATAGCATGATAGGAGACCTTTAAGGCACACGTTCACAAATTGTTATTGAGAGAATGCAAAATGCATCTTTTTTACATCTCTGTACACACTAGGTGATGGCTGAAGATAGTATAGCGCAGGCAGATACTGTATAGTAAAGTAAATATGTTGTTACCGCCATCCTCTTCTGCTGTCTGCTGGACATCCCTCTCTGCATGGAACTAAAGGAGACACAGCAGAAGGTATCTGTATTACATTGATGATCTTCATGTGGTCATGTTAAGGTGAGGGCTGCAGGTTGTGAGTTACCAGCAAGACACTTCCTGTGCCCTGCAGCTGCTGCATGGCTGCGTGCAGATCACAGTCCGTCACATGGGGGAACTCCTCCACCCCACTGTGGATGAGGAAACATTTGAAGCCAGCCACTCCTGCCTCCATCAGGGGCCGGAGTTCTAGCTAAGAATATATTTGTTTGTTCGTGTTTGGTTATTATTTAGTCATTTTTACTTCAGAATGGATTACTTTTCATCCAGGCTGTTCCACTGTACCTGATTGCCAGGAATCACACCTCCCCAGAAGGCTGTGTCCACAAAACACTTCCCTGTCGCCTCCTGAATCTTATCGCGAAAATTGCCAAGTGTGGTAGTCGGAGGGATGCTGTTTCTGTGGGGATTTAAAAAAAAAAAAAAAACTGCCTACATTAGAGATTGGCACACGGGAATAGATAGTTAAAACATAAAGAAAAGTGATTTGCTTTTTCCTCACTTTTTGCATAAAGAAAACAATATTATTTAAAAGTCTCTTGTGACACACATGAGCATACGCAGGCAGCCCGGAAGGTCTGTTGTCAAATGTCAAACCATCCAGTTCTGCAAAACTGGATGGTTTTTTTTGTTGTTTTTTTAAAATTGCATTCACCCTGCAACCTTTACCCCCCGCTGGTGACCCAGAGAGGTCAGACAGTGGGTTTTGAATGACTCTGAGAGGGGGGCGGTCTGCAGACTTACAGTGGCATGTCCACAATGGTTGTCACCCCTCCAGCTGCAGCAGCCCTGGTGGCGGTCCAGAACCCCTCCCAGGAGGTGCGGCCCGGTTCATTCACATGGACGTGGGAATCTACGATGCCGGGCATCACCACACTGTCAGCCACATCCAACACCTGCCCCAAGGTGGGATCACAAACAGGGGGACATGAGTGTCAACACATTATGAGGAGCTTCTTATGATGTATAAACATAGATGTACCATTCCTTCCACAAACGTACTTACCTCACAGGGAACGTCCACAGAAATGTCTGAGAGTATCTGATGAATCTTCCCATCCTTTATCAGGATGACAGCAGGACGTATTTCGTCCCCCAGTAGCACCCTCTGACTCCTCACAGCACTAACCGTTGAGCCGAGCTCCATGTCTGTCTTTATTGAGAGTTAATTAGTACAATAGACTCTCCTGACTTCAGGTACCAACTGTTGCAGGTCAGCGGCCACCTGCTGAGGCACCACCCCCTGGTAACAGTTCATTGGACAGTCATTTGTTGACTCTTCCTGTCTATGCATGCCCGGCACCGTGGGAGGGCCAGAGAGGGACAGGCCCTCCCATTTGACATTCCTGCCCTCCCCCAATAAACACGATTTTTATTATTTATAAAAAATATATATTTTTTATTTTTGTATTTTTTAAATTATAAATAAACTGTGAACCTTTATGCTACAATGTATGTGATGTCAGATAGTAACTAAAACAAAAAATTGCAGGCTACATCAAATAAATTCATGTGTCTGTTGTGATTTGTGATTCGTCCACATTTAGACCAATCACAGCGTCACACTCTGCCGGCTATTCTGGATTTGTTTATTGTGCATTCTGTAGACTCCCATTTCTGTTTAAATTACAAAATGGACATCAGAAATTGGCTTAAAAGGTCTAAGGATTTATTAAAACGAAATAGCGATGAAAGAACTGCAGCCGATGCAGCTGCACGCCTTAATGTCACAAGCTTGACCTCGGCAAACCCCGGGGCTGAGTTAGCGAGCCCAATCCTTGACTCATCAAGGCGGCCGCCACCAACGCTGTCCTCCGAGGCATAGCTCCTTGTGCCCCTACCATCACCACCTGCGTTGCCACACCCTGTGCCACACCCGCCATCCTCCTCCTCCGTGCCGGTGCCTCCACTACAGACGCTACCTTGCAGCACATCAACAGGTAGGCTATTGGGCCAGCAACCGCTCAAAGACCAACAGCCCCAGATGATCTTGGGGTCAATAAACCCTACCAGGTGAAACTGGATCGTTATCCAGGGAGATTGTTTTCAGCAAAGAAGCGCACTTTTGCCACTGCATGGTACATCAACAGACCATGGCTTGAATATTCGTTAAAAGCAGACGCAGCCTTTTGTTTCCCCTGTAGACAGTTTAAAGTAAATACGTCTTCATCTGATGCGGCTTTTACTGTCAAAGGTTTTTGCGACTGGAAACACGCATTACAGACCGATAAAGGACTGCTAAGGCATGCCGCATCAGAAGAACACATTTCATAGTGAGAGTTGTGGAGAGAGAGACAGATACACAGGAAACAAATAAGGAAATTAGTACTTTGGTGCAGATCAGCTGTCGTTGATGTTGTAGCTTGTCAGCTGTCGTTGATATTATAGCTTTTTTAGCTGTCAACCACCTCTCAGAGGTGACCACGATTCACTCCACAGCATGTCCGAGTCAGGCAGTGTGCTCTTCCTATCGCTGTTTGAGTATACGCTGCACAAAGATGCAGAGTTGACCAAAAT